ACAGACCAGTACTGAAGAGGTGATGTTAGATGTTTTTTAATGAATTGTTGCCCAGTCAGCTCACCCTGATCACACATTACCCTCTAAAAGTGCGATATTAAGTCACTATCCCTATGGATTTGACTAAATGCTTTGAATCTTTTCCATTTCCTACCTGTGCATTTACAGATCCCCCTCTTATTTTGCAGGATCAGGACAGTTTTGTTACTGGAGATAAGTTACAGTGTGGAAACACAGGCCAGTACTGAAGAGGCAATATTAGAAGTTTTTTAATGAATCGTTGCCCAGTCAGCTCACCCTGATCACACATTACAAGCTAAAAGTGCCATTAAGTCACTATCCCTATGGATTTGAAATGCTTTGAATCTTTTCCATTTGCAAGTAATATATTCCCACCTGTGCATTTACAGATCCCCTTCTAATCATCATATATTTTACAGGTAACAAACCAAAGGATGAGGACAGTAGCTTTGCTGTGCCAGCCGTGGTAAATACAGGAACATCCTTCATGAAGAGGTGTGAGAGAAGCTTGCAAGGCAAGTTGAGAAAAAAAAATTGAAGGTATACCTTTCTTCATTTTCATGGATTTTGGGATATTTATCTATTTCTTGGTAATTGATAAAGTTATGTTTTATTTCCTGTAAAATAGGAATAAAAATGTTTATTAAAATGTTATCTACTTTTAAAGCCCAGTGTCAGTAAAGATGGTGTGGTTAGTGGAATTCTGCTGTTTATGGGAAATGTGAAGGAACATCTCCCAGCATTCTATTACGATGTTGCCCTTATGATTGAGGTAATTCATCTCTTAGGTGTGATGCAGATGTGGTCAAAAGTTTACATACACCTTGCAGAATAAACTGCTTCATCAGAGCAGAAATTGCAATTTTTTTAATGATTCTACCTCTCTACCCTCTTACTGCTTAAATGATTAACATTTTGCAGATACTGCAAGGTGTATATGAACTTTGGACTGCAACTGTGTCTATTGCTTTCACTCAACTGAACCATTTATAATGGCGGGATATGTTTTATAACAATTGTTGTTCTTCCATTTACAGATCCCCTCTAATCATCATATATTTTACAGGTAACAAACCAAAGGATGCTGTGCCAGCCGTGGTAAATACAGGAACATCCTATATGAAGAGGTGTGAGAGAAGCTTGCAAGGCAAGTTGAGAAAAAAAAATTGAAGGTATACCTTTCTTCATTTTCATGGATTTTGGGATATTTATCTATTTCTTGGTAATTGATAAAGTTATGTTTTATTTCCTGTAAAATAGGAATAAAAATGTTTATTAAAATGTTATCTACTTTTAAAGCCCAGTGTCAGTAAAGATGGTGTGGTTAGTGGAATTCTGCTGTTTATGGGAAATGTGAAGAAACATCTCCCAGCATTCTACTACGATGTTGCCCTGATGATTGGGGTAATTCATCTCTTAGGTGATGCAGATGTGGTCAAAAGTTTACATACACCTTGAAGAATAAACTGCTTCATCAGAGCAGAAATTGCAATTTTTTAATGATTCTACCCCTCTACCCTCTTACTGCTTAAATGTTGCAGATACTGCAAGGTGTATATAAACTTTGGACTGCAACTGTGTCTATTGCTTTCACTCAACTGAACCATTTATAATGGCGGGATATGTTTTATAACAATTGTTGTTCTTCTGTTTGTTTGTTTTTTCTTTCTTTCCTCAAGGTATTTTTTTCTGACTTTCCTGCCTCTTTGGAACATTTCCGTTCACACATACTGTGGAGATATGGTGTGCAGCTTCATGGCATTTGAAGTTTACTGCCGATGGAGAGCTTCTGGGACATTGACAAACAGCACTTACCAGCAAGTTCATTTGGAGTTCTTTTTTTTTAATTAATTAATTTATTTATTTAGTCAAACTTGCATTCACTAATGCTGGAGTAAGATTTTAGAAGAAAACTTTCGGTCCTGTTTAATGTTGGTGCTAGTAAAGGTTTGACAACTAATGGCCTGGTTTCACAGACAGGGCTTAGACTAAGCCAGGATTAGGCCATAGTTCAATAAGGACATTTAAGTCATTTTCATTAACATGCCTTAAAAAACATTACTGGTGTGCATCTTGAGACAAAACAAAGGCACTGATATTTTTAAAGATCAGTCAGTGCAATTTTCTTTCAGTTGAAACAGCTCAGAATTGCATTTTAGTCCGGGGCTAGGCTTAAGCCTTGTCTGTGAAACCAGGGGTACAAGTAACACAGTTTGGTAATGTTTTACAATAAGGTATCATACTCTCATTTGTTGTACATGGAATTATCATTTTCTTGATTTTTTTTGTATTAAGTGTGTGTGTTTGTGTGTTAGTAATCCTATACGTTATGGGGACCAAATGACTCCACAAGGATAGTAATACCAGTAAATTTTGACCTTGTGGACATTTTTAGGTCCCCAATGAGGAAACAGTCTTATAGATCATACAGAATGATGTTTTCCATTTTGTGTTTATGTTGATTGTAACTAGGTAATTAAGATATTTTTTTTTATTTTAAATATATAAAAATTCAACTTCATTGCCAGAGATATATGACATTGAAATATATTTTAGTTCACATTAATTGCTTATTCAGAAGTACATATTTACCATATTTCAAAGTACATATAAAATATAATAAAGTCCCACTTAAGTGGTTCAAAAATATCACTCAAAAGTTAATTTTATAATAATATAATAATATACATAATAATTTTAAACTGTAATATATTTGAAATCAAGTACCAATAATATGCATTTAGGTGGTCGAAAACATTACATTTAATTCACACTTAAGTGTATTGTTAACTGACATTAAAGTACATTTTAGTTAACATTAATTGCTTGTCAGTACATTAGTAATACACTTTAACCATATTTGAAAGACACTAGAAGCAATTATGAACATATAAACATTAGTAGTACACTTTAACCATATTTTAAAGACACTAGAAGTAATTATGAACATATAATTGTACATATAAATATGTACTAAAAAGTCCCACTTAAGTGGTTTAAAAAAATCACTCAAAGGTTCAACTTATTGCATTTAATATAACTTTAAAATGAGATTCATTTTAAATTAATTACAAATAGAATGTACTTAAGTGGCGAAAATAGTATATTTAATTTGCACTTACGTGTGTTCTTTTAAAGTATATTATTTCCGCAACAAGTACACTTTATAAAAGTATACTTAAGTGCACTTCTTTTTCACAAAGGAAAGCACGGCTGATGGCAACATAACTGTCTTCAAGGTGATTAAGGCTAAAATATGGGGCAAACACACTCTCGTTCGGTTGCAGTGCGGCTTTCACCTGAATAATTACGCTAATACATATTTATATCGATATCGATCTTGATCCTACACTCTAGCATAAAAATAATTGGTCGCACTCGTAAAACACCTGCAAGACAATTTCTTGTCACAGCTTTCACTGTCATAATGGTCAATCGATATCATGTTTGAACTTCTTGAAGCTGTTACAGCTGTCATCTGAATCCGGCAGGTGAATTCGTGTATATGGTAATCCATATTCAATTTGGCTTCCTAATGCTTTTACTCTCAACGGATCAGTCACAACTTGGCAGTTCTAATGTCATTTTCTCTTCCGCTCTGATCTTTTCCTGCATGGGATATCTTTAATGGATAATGATTTTTATTGCTTGTGCTTGTTTTTGTTACATCTGACCTCTTTCTTCGCTGCGTTTCAGGCTGTGATTTGTTAAAGTAAATGCTGTAATCAGTATAGAGATGAATGTGCAAACCCAAAAGTGTGAATAAAAACAAATCAGTGGGGTCAAAATATGAAAAACTGATTTGCATACCCCCGCTGGCCTCGTTAAACACTTTCAAATTCTTTCTCCTCCCTCTTAAGCCCTAAACACACTGCACGATTTCCGACTGTCCCAGACGAAAGATTGGCATCGTGAAACAATCGTGCCAATTTCTGTGATCGTAATCGGTGGTCCTGAGTCGTACAGTGAGAGAGGTTCAAAGACGTTGTCACCAGGGTTTGAAATTAACACCCGCCAAATGTGGGTAAATATCAGCTGTGGCAGGTAACTCTGTCAAATCACTAGCCAATTTGGCGGGTTACTTTTCGTAAGTTATGTTCACTCATTAATTTCTTGTGGAAGTTCATGCAAGCCAAATCTGTGCAGGTTTAGCGCAAATACTGAACTCGTGAGACATCATGACATTATCGAGTATATTGCAAAAACCAAACAAAACACACCTACAGAGTGCACACACACGACGTAATGAAGTCTGCTTAGACTAACTATGCATTTAGTTGCGTTCATTCACAATTAATTTAAATAATTTCAAATATCAGTATTCAACATTTCATGTTTAAAATATCAAAACATTATTTATGCATTTGTAACTGCAGGTTAAAGCATTCCATGTCCCTCTAAGCTGCATTAACATGTGTAAATACATCTAAATGCTACTTCATATGCAACTTATGCAAATATTAATTTTGTTGATACTGATTTCATTTGTTTAGTAACAGCCTAAATGTATTATTATTATAATTGACTGATTAAATGTAAGAATTTGACTCAAAAGATGATGTACACTTTTAGAAAAAAATGGCTTTATAAAGGTAAAAATGCGCATAAAAGGTAAAAATAAATTTAAACTTATTGGAAAAGATTAATTTCTATCACTGCTGTGAACTGACCACACAGAATATGAAGAATATCAAAAACTTTAGGAGTCAGCTGTCCATGGTAGTCCTTAAGATATCAGCACAATAACACACTCAGCAAAATATAGACTAATTATCTTTATCGATAAAATCCCAGAAAGTATTGAGATATTATTTTTTGTCAATATCGCACACCCCTAGTACTGACACAAAATTAATGATTTGCAATGTTCGCTTTGTCACGCCCAGTGTAGACAACCTCAAACTGTTGGTTTATTTCTGTCTTTTTTTTGTTTGATTGTTTTTTTTTTGGTTTTTTTTTGGCTAGTAGAAGTTATGAATGGCCGGTAACTTAAAAATTTTGTAGCCAAATTGGCTGGTGAGTGAAAAAGATAATTTCAATCCCTGGTTTTCATGATCTTGCGACCAAAGATAGCCTACAATACAGCATGATCATCGCAGAGTGTGTTTGCTGGTACGATCCATGTTTACTGACCAACCAATAAAAATGCGACATGAAATCAACGCAACGTGGCGCTAAAACATAAAACTGCTGACCTCAAGCTCTTATGCCTTCCTCTTTCGCCACTTCCATAAAAATAAAAATACATAAAAAATACATCTGCTAAAGTGTGATTTATCATGCTTTTTGTTTACTACTAGCGCATGCTGATGATGTTTCATTCTTCTATAGAAACGTGTATCGTATCCTACAAGTCAACAGGTGTCGTCATCGTACAGTCTACACACACGTCGTAGCCAAGTTTATTAGATCCATGTCGCACAGTGTGACATGCAATGATCTTATAGGATTGCTAAAATCGTGCAGTGTGTTTAGGGCTTTAAGATTAGAATGGCTAGAGTAACTGATAAAAAAAATGCAACACTAGCAGCCTTGTGAGCATGAGATATGTATAAGTTTTTGGATGATGTTGCCTTGAATACTCTGTGATATCAGTGGAGAATATATTTTTTGTATAAGGCATTTTTTAAATAAGTTTAGAACATAAACTGTCTTCATAAATGCAAGGTGTTCATTAAAGTAGAGATTTGTATTTGAATCAGTAAACATTTCACTGTAGATTATAGCTGCAAAACTAATTGAAAAAATACTAAATAAGATTATGATTACGGCTTCTCCAGTTAATTGAAAAATGTTCCTGTTATAATTAACAATACATATATGTTATTAGCATATCCATTTTACTATATAGACCAAAATGGGATATTTTGCTCTTTTGTTTTGTTTTGCTTTTTTTTACTTTATTCAGCATGGGTGCATTAAATTGATCAAAAGCAACAGAAAAATACATTTATAATGTCATGAAATTTTTATATTTAAAATAAATGCTGTTTTTTGAACATTCTATTCATCAAAGAATCCTGAGAAAAGTAGCAAAAGTAGAACATCGGTAGCCAAACAGTTGACAAAGCCACTGACTTCCATAGTATGGAAAAAAAACAAAAAACACTATGGAAGTCAGTGGCTGCCGTCAAATGTTTGGTTACCAACATTCTTCAAAATATCTTGTGTTTAACAGAAGAAAAAACTCATACAGGTTTGGAACAAGTGTGGGGAAAGTAAATCTGTAAAACTCTCCCTTTAATCTAAATTCTTTTAATTACTGTATAATTCATTGTAATTATTGCAATATAAAAAAAACAATATTTTGTGTCATAATCATGCAGCCCTACAATAAATTTGCTGCATCTGAAATGACATAAAAATATGACTTCAATCAGTTGGAACGTAAGATGAGAGAAAAAAATGGGATGAAATTCGGTCATTAAAAGTTAGAGTAATTCACCAAGGGTAACATTGCACAGCAGTAACCCGGTGCAGTGGGAATACTAGAGACACGGAGACTGGTATTAATGCTGGTCTATCTGACAAGGCACATTAGCACACTGGTGTGTGTGTGTCTGTGTGTGTGAATTAGGGTTCTGTAAAATGAATTCTTCGTTTGACTGCCCTGCTGAGTCCCTGAGCAGGTCCCTACAATTATAAAGGGACCCAAGTCACATTAAAGGGAACATAGATCTTTTAATCCTTTGTTAAGCCTATTTCCAAGCTCAATTAGCAATCGACGTTGGAAAGTAATGCTTGCATCAAGTAAGATTGCAAGTTGCAAGTGTATAAAATACGACTACATCAACACAGACAGGACAGATAAAACATCAATTAATGAGTTTTGGCAAGGCTCCTTGAGAACGATAACCTCCCATCTGCACTAATTAGCCCAACACAATCTACTTTGTTCAGAAAATGTACGTCATCCGCTTTCTTGCCCTTCTTTTCGGTTACTCCCATTGTCATTTTAGCAATTGTCCATGTCATCTACTTCAATTTCCTTGTCACCATTTCAGTGGTCCCAACTAATCAAATCTTCCCCATCTTCCTTGCCACCGCCTGCCATTTTTCTGAGGGCAGGTCAGATCCACCTCTAATTCCCACTGTCTACTTGAAGGTCATGAAACACTAAAACATGTTTTTCAAGACGTTAACTGATGCGTACGTGCTGCGCATGACAAAGACGATGACAGTCTGCATAATTTTTGTAAACTACCTCAGGTTTCAAAGTGACTCATTCGTTGAAGTGACCATCATATGTACACTTCACTAATGGCTCTGAGCATCCACTTCCCACAGAATTTGTCCTTAATGTCCTGAGGAATCCGATCCCCTTGGGATTTTGTTATAATGCCTGATTAAAAGTCATTGTCACATCTTCACATTGTAGCCAATCACATAATTATCAGAATTAAGCAGTACTTCAGTGTGGCTTATATAGTATAATATAAGAGATTTCCTATAGTTGAACAGATTATTGACTCTTGGTTATGTAAAATTAATTTAAATGCATTTTTTTTTTTTTTTTTTTTTTAAATACATTAATACAAATAAAAAATAATGAAAATAATCATAAACATACAAACTGCCACTTGCTGGTCCTGTATATGGAGAATACTGTATTTACTGATACATATTTTAACCGCAAAGCATGCAAAATGTAAGTTGTGCTGGATATTTTAGCTTAGTACACTAACTAATAAGCATTGTAATCATAGGAAATGCAACTATATATTTTTCCAGTTCATGAAACCTTTTGAGTTTCAAATAGTAAAAAATGCATTTATCTGGAATGTACATAAAAACCAATATCAGACAAGATAATTCCCCCCAAATGCATTTCAGATTTCTGAATGCAAAGCATTTCATATTTCTGAAATGTTAATGGTTTGTGAGTTCCCAGCATGCATTGCAGCATGAATAAACTATGTGGTTACTGTTATAGGATTATTGTTTTGTAATTATTTCAATAGATGTTTTACATTTTTTTTTCTTTTCATTTTCTATTTTTAAAAATTACGGGTTTTATCCAATTTATTAGGAATGTAACAGACCCTCATAAGAGTATCTGGATAGCTGACAAAGTTGTACAAAACTATAACATATCGCTGTCTCTGCCTACAATTGTCCTGCCAGACCTGAGATTCAAGCCGATATGCACTTGAGAAAAATATGAAAGCTAACCCGTAGACATTACAGAAGTGTTGTGCAAACGTAATGTAAACTGAGTTCAATTTCTCCCTAATCTGGGGATCAGATGGAAAGCAAAGTGGAGAGGCGCCTTATTAGGGGACGGCCTTTTTATCCTGAAACATAATCTGTCTTGATACGTGGAAAGGCTCCAGTTGAACATTTCCCTTGAGATTGTATGAAAGCAAACAAACCTTTTCTCCAATAGCACAGCATAGGGTGTTCGTTGACGCAACATGCTTTTCCGATAGATTCGAGTCCATTCAAGAGCTCTCTGAGATTCTTACAGAACCCTCAAGGATACAGGAAGAAGACAGAAGCGTTTCTGCGTTACGTGAACAGAGCTGAAAGGAAACCAGCGTTAATCTAGCTCTCAATAGCATTGTCTGATAGATTCCCTCATCTCTAAGAACAGGGCAACTATGTGTGACTGAGTTCCATTTCAGCAGCTCGAGATGGAGGAAGCATCACGACCGAGTTCAGCCGAGTGCCTCCCTACGGAAGGCTCATGCATTTTTCATGTAGACGCATGCCTTTGAAAAACCCAACACAATCATTTCCATCACCACTCTGTTCTTCTGTAGTGATGTATATGTTCTTTGGCTCAGAGCGAGATTGCATTCCCTTTCTCGATAGAGCCGTGGATGAACCCAGATGGCTGAATGAAAGAACAAAATTAGGTTCCTGTATTAAAACACAATTCATTTATTTTACGAGTTACCCAATGCGGATGAATAACAATAAAAAGGATGAATATCAATAGCTCCTAAATTAACCTAAATAGTCAAGCATTGTCAGAGCTAGTGGCTTGCTCCTGGTAGGTTAACCACATTTTGAATACATTTTTGTAAATATCTGTACATAAACTACATACTGTAGGTTCATGAGGTAACATCTGAATTTACTGGTTTTACTTAAGTCATGTTTAATGTTTGCAACACTCAGGGTTCAGTACAAGTTAAGCTAAATCAATTTGTGACAATATTAATTACCCCAAAAATATTTTCCAAAATTATTTCATTTTCTTTCAAATCAATCAATCAAGTAACAATAAGGCATCTACAATGGAAGTGAATGGGTAGCCAATCCGTGAACATTAAAATACTTGTTTTATTCTATTGTAAATGACAGAAATGTAATGTTGAATTATTTTATTTATTTATTTTTTAGAAAATGAGATGGTAAGTCACAACTGTTCTTGGTTAAGCTTAACTGTATTGAATTCTGAATAAATTAACCAGACTTTTTTTTTGTTATTATTATTTAGTCATATAACGTAGAAAAAGATTCAAGGTAAAAAATAAATAGTTGAGAAAACATTAAAAAAATAAGGCAACTTGATGCAGTAAGACATTTGAGTTCTCTCAACAATAGTTTTGTAGTTCTTCTCAGTAAAGATACTTTGTTTAGCCAGTGTAAATTTGTTTGTTCATGCAATGCTGATTGTCTTATTTTGCTAATAGAAAAATTCTTGTCACAACACCTGAAACAACAATTAAAGTCATTGAGGTAATTAATTTTTTTATGGAAGTCACAACTGTTTCCTGGAAGAAAAAAATAAAGTGTAAAAAAATCACCACATTATTGATTTTATGTTTATTTATGAATGACAAACCTTAATGGATAACTTAGTCTAATATGTAGACAACATTCTCTTTGTTTGTAAAACAACTTACAAAACTAAGATATCCAAGAAATAGATATAAATGGTTGAACCTACTCTAGGCCTCAAAACTAGACACACAAACCTCAAGAAGGGTGGCAATCAACAAATGGTAAAAAGATGAGCTCTTTACATCACAGTACAACAAATACCTAACAATAATGACAAAACAACAACAAAAAAAGTTTAAATGAAGTCAGCAAACAGCAAAACTATAATCCTATAACAGTAACGGCATTATTTATTCATGCTGCAATGCATGCTGGGAACTCACAAAGTCAACAATATGAAATTCTTTGTTCAGACAACTGTCTGACTAGTTGGGACAACATTTGGGGTAATTTTGTTGGTCTGACAAGTGTTTTTATGTAGTTTCAAGAAAATAGCATTTTTTAGTATTTGAGACTCAAAAGGTTGAGTCTGGAAAATGTGCATTTTTACAGTGTTCTTAAGGTAACAATCACTACTTTTAATTTTGTATTTAATTAATATGAAATGTTTTACTTTTCTTTTCTGACTTTGATATCTTGCTAAATCTGTGAATAGTTTGAGAAACGTACTCGGTTACTAACGTAACCTCGGTTCCCTGAGATACGGGAACGAGTACTGCGTCTTGCTTAAGGGGCACTAATCCTTTTGTGTGAGACACGAATCGAAGCGCAGCGGGAAGGGCGAGTACGCAGGCTCTGTGTCGGCATAAGATCGCTCAGACCCGGTTGCTTAGTTCCCAGGCTTCGTCGTTTCTCTCTCCGAGGCTTGCTGAGAGAGGAGAAACGTGAGAGCGGGGCTGTATAGTGAAAGGTGGTCCGCGAGTGGAGAAAAGCGAGACTCATGCTCGAGTGAGCATTCTGTCTTAGTAAGCACGTC